CCCCACCTCTCGACAGGCCTGCACTGATTCACCCGTTATAGAGATATTTCAGGATAAGCTGCGCCAGGAAGTTTGGACGCACTATTAAAGCCCCCTACATTGCGTTTGCCATTTGGAAATCTTTGACGTTCCTGTCTCACCTGTGCTGAGTCCGCGGGGCGTTCGTTGACCGTCCACAGCGTCCTCTGTTGAGCCAGGTCGTAGTTGAACGTGGCTAGTGACGTCTTCTCCACGTTTATCTTCTCCTGTACAACAAACAGGCAACGCACATACAACACACATGCAACACACATACAACACACATGTAACATACATGCAACACACATGCAACACACATTGATCACACAAATCACACACACAGATCACACACAACACACACAGATCACACACAACACACACAAATCACACACATCACACACAGATCACACACAGATTACACACACAACACACAGAGATTACACACACAACACACACATAATATTTTATCACACAGAACAAAAAAAACACACACACAACACAAAGATCAGACACAGAACACACACAACACACAGAAGTAGAACAACTTCAAAAGCCTTTTAAAAAGGCTTTTCACTAAATGTTATTATGGTGTAATCTGGCGTTTGTCAAAATAATGAAAATAAAGAAATCGACATTTTTCTGCCCGTTGAACAATATTTTCGATTTTTATTTTGGCTAAACACCCTTTATGTCTATTTGAAACACATTTCTGTGTACAGTTCATTACAAGACGATGATCAAAGGCCAACACTATATTTGCCGTTTCAAAGGACATTCAAGATTTGGAAATCACCAAACGTTGGCGACTTTTTTCTCGCTAATTATACCTCGACACTATGCAATCCCCGTCTCATCCAATTCATTGTAAATATCTCACCATCTATTCAAGATAGACGAGTATTTTTTTTAATCAAAAGGGAGACAAATGAACAAACTTTAAAATTTATAGCAATAACTCCATAGGCTAAGCCCGAGCACTGGCGAGTGCCTGATTAAACCGTGCCGTAACATAATTGAGTTCTCTCAGAAACACAGAAGTTGAAAAACAACAAAAGCCTTTCAAAAAAAGCCTTTCAATATGGTTGGAGCAACTTCATGAAAACATATTATGTAGGCTAGCCTTTCGTACAAAGACAAATGCATTCAGATAACAAATATATTTCCAAAATCGTAAATTCTCATTACTTTCACACGGCTGATTGAGTTTTTAAGTCGGCCTACATTTACACCTCAACGCCACGGCAGAACAACACTACAACAAATCATCGACACACACAATCTATAAGATAGCTGGAGAGAAACTCATGCACACACCAACCGCACAACACACCAGGGATAGACAGACCGGCTAGCAGGCTCAACAGAATTTACGTACACAACACAGATACAGTCACACAGTGCGAACACCTAGACAGGGGGCTCTCGTGGCCTAGAGGTTAAGGTGTTGGCCTCTCATTCAAAGGTCCCGGGTTCGAATCCGGGTAGCGACCGAAAAAAATTCTTCTCTAAAATTGTCTCCTTTCACCTCCTTTTCAGCAATGTTCTGTTGTCTGCTTTCAATTCCACTCTCTGCCCCCACCCCCTCATCTCCTTTGCCCCCTCCTCTGGGCTCCTGACTCTTTCTGCAGCCTTTCTACTGCTACTCCTTGGCTTCTCCTTACTGCTGTCTTTCTGCCACACCCCTGATCTTCTGGTAGGAAAGATCTACACCTAGCCTTCTCGGACAAGGGCGAAAAATTTCGGAGGGCCCATGTGCAAGTTGAGCACGTTAAAGATCCCTTGATGGTCTAAAATCGATAAGAGTAGGCTTCGGCCGCCACCCGGGCAAAATTCCAAATTTCCTACCAACTGAAGATATTAGGTGTGTCCCGCGCGCTCATATGACCTATGCAGTTGCGAGCGCCGTAAAACACTTTACAAAAACAAGAACACCTAGACCACACACTGACATTCACAGACCACAAAGCAGTAGTAGCAACAATAAACACAAACAACAACACACCGCCGAGACGAACACCGCACTGGAAATGTAATAATACATCACTCGATAACGAAGAATATTATAGAACCGAGATCACAGAAACTATTAAACAACACACACAAAACCTAGGTCTACAAACTAACAACGCTAGGGAGACATGGGACGACTTAAAATATACCATTACACTAGACACAATATACAAGGCAAAAGAAATTAGCAGAGCCAGAAGACGAAGACAACAACGATTAGAATACAGAATTGAACTAGCTAAACGATTATGGTTACAGGACGCAGAGAGTATAATAGAATTTCAGAAACAGCTCGACGAAATAAAACAAATTAAATATAAAGGTGCACAAGTTCGAACTAGGTACAAACAAGTAGAAGATGAAAAGCCAACTCCAGTATATCTAGCTTTAGAACAAAATATACAAAAAAATAGGATGATAACAGAGATTACAGACGCACAAGGCAACACACAAACAGACACACAGAAAAATTAAATAGCAGAAGCGTTTCAAAATTTTTACACCGATTTGTACGCTGACAAGACGACGCGGGGTGACGAGGCACAGCAGGCTGGCCGGCTCACAGACGAGGCGACGCGGGCTGACTATACGCAGCACGTGGCGCGGCTCACAGACGAGGCGACGCGGACAGACTACACACAGCACGTGGCGCGGCTCACAGACGAACAACAAGAAATTCTTAACACAAACTTAGAAACTAAAGATCTACAAGGCGCCCTCAACCTAATGAATGAAACACCTCCCCCGGCCCCGACGGCTTGACCGTCGAATTTTACATCGCTTTCTTCCCCGTTTTGGCCCCCCTATTTACAGCGATGGTTAAAGAAAGTTTTGAAATAGGATCTTTACCAGAGTCTCTAAATTTATCGTACATATCCCTTATTCCGAAAGACTCCGGTTCCCCTTTGGAAATGAAAATTACCGTCCCATATCACTTTTAAACGTAGACTATAAAATAATCTCTAAAGCCCTAACAAATAAGTTGAGACCGTTTATGCAAGATCTAATACATACAGACCAAGCCAGCGCGGTACACGGCAGTACAACTCAAGATCACAACCACACACTTAGGGACATTATCACATACGCAGAAGACAAGCAGTTAGACACATGCATACTTTCACTAGATCAAACTAAGGCATTTGACAGAGTATCACATTCCCACTTACGCAAAGTTTTAGAACGATGCAATTTAGGCTGCACCTTTCGAAAATGGATACAAATATTATACAAAAAACCGAAGTCAAAAATCTTAGTTAATCACACCCTGTCAGATGCCTTCGATATAGAGAGAGATCAGTCAGACAATAGACAAGGAGATTCTCTAAGCCCACTTTTGTACGTTTTAAGTCTAGAACCCCTACTAAATTCAATCCGAAATGACCCACAGATTTCACTCTCGCACGCACAACAAAAAATATATACACAGCGCTAGTTAAACGACAGGCAACACCCTTATACGATCAGATTAAAAGAGGTAGGATCTACGCAATGATAGACTTTTCGCAAATTTTTCAAAATTTACACATTAAAGACACGACGCCCTTCAAAAACAGATAATGTATAGGATACTCTACAACAACACCCCTACGACAGAAGCGCAAAGTCACAGAAGAGTTAGGTGCAAAACATGTAAACAAAACGAACGAGAGACAGAGGAACATATATTCTACACATGCTCGCACATCCAACAGACAAAACACGCACTAGCAAAATTACTCAACGCAAACGCAGGCACACAGATAGATTTGTACAGAGCAGTTTTTCTAAACCTAATCCCACCACAAACAACAGACAACAACAACGTTCGACTCCAAATCTTAGCAGCGTACAGAGAAACTATTTGGCAAGTAAGATTACAGACAACTTTTAGCGACAGAAGCCACACACCCAACACTATTTCAGAATATTTTCAACGGATAGTTACATACACCTTCGATACAGAAACCAAATGGGCAAGCTTTGAAAGTTATTTGAGCTGTGGCGAGAGAGAGTGAGCGAATGTTTTGAAAGCGAACCAACCACGTGGACGCAGACCGGACGGACGGAGCGTGTAGACAAGACGAGACTGCTCTGTGAGCACAGAGTAATGACTACAAGACACCCCAGGGGTCGATGGCGACGAGCGTAAGAGAACACAGCTCAAGAGTGAACGAATTAAACTTTAATTATGGAATAAAATGGAAATGTATATGGAACGCAAGTGACCGAATGAGAAATATTTATGTGTATGCGAGTGGGGGAGGGGG